CTTACAAGCCAATCTGATGAAGGCATATTCTCAGTGAAGTTCTGTTGTTTCAGATGACTCAGCTCATGTCAATTTAACAGGAAACAAAACCAAACCAAACCCAACCGGCACAGAGATCAAGTTAGCCAGTTGTCACACAGCCAGTAAAAGGTGGAACCAAGACTTAAACACAGACGGGCAGAGTCCACAGCCTTCGTCTCCTAGGACAGGGTTAAACAGAGCAAGAATGCATACCAGGGAAAGACCAGAAACAACAATAGACTCTGCTAGAGAATTTCCCATCTGCTCCGTGAGATACTTAGCTCAGTAATCTATGAAGTGTCTACAAATATTGACACCCAAGAGACACTTCACTGCCTATTATCTCAGAGCAAAGAGATAATCAGACCCTTGGCAGGCTGTCTCCAAGCAGCCGATTTCTCAGCACGTGCAGAATATTTGCAGATGTCTTTCTTTGCTTCTCTTGTAAGGAGGATTGTGCATGTGTGACTCGGTTTTGTGATGTGATGGGAGAGTGTAGGAAGGAAGTGTAGTTGTGTTTCTTGGGGTTCACAAGGTCCCTTTATGGCCTCTTCAAATTACCGTTTCATATTGGATTCATGTTCAAGAGTAATCGAGACCACATGATCCTGGTTAGATATGTGAATTAATGTTACTATCGTAACTTGCTCATACTTGGCATGTGTAATAAGGACAGCAGTGACCTAGAAGAGAAAAATCAGGTTCTCAAGGGACAGACTTGTAAGTCATTCAGTGCCAACTTCTTTTGTATCTGATCCTGAGATCACGTCAGCAGGTAAGCTGATATGGAACCTGTCCTTAGTCAGATTACCTTTTCAAGGGAAAAATGATGGTCAATCCTGCCATTACACATCCCAGTTAAGAAAGTGGGTGATGCTACCAGAATGGCCCAGGATCAAATCCTTCCGATCATCACATGTCATCAGACGACCATGGGCAAGTTACTTAATTCCAAGACATATTTGGAATCCCTCATGAAAGGAGGAAAGACAGATGGGAGAAAAACAAAAGTCAGCTTCATAGGGTTGGTGTGTGGAGAGACTATAAACCTAGCAGAGTGATTGCTAGGCACACAGACAGTGCTCAGTAAGTCTCAGAGTGCTTTATAAATGCTGCAGGGCAGAAAATAGAGTACTATAGGAAAACATAGGCACTCCCCCACGCCGCCCCTCCCTAATATCGGAGAGTAGGACTGGAGTAAGTGTGGAGGTTCTGTTAGGATGGGGACAGGTTGGTGGACAAAGGCATATACATAGGATTCTAGATCCTTTCCTGGGCAAGAGAGAGCATTGGGGTGGTTTGAATGAGAACAATCCCCACAGGCTCATATTTTTGACAGTTTGGTCCAATTGGATTAAGAGGTGTGGTCTTGTTGGAGGAGTCACTGACGATGCACGTTGAGATTTCAAAAGACTCTTGTCGTCCCCCCCCCCCCCGGTTTTTCTCTCTGTGCCTTATTCCTTTGGATAAAGAAAGAGGTAAGCTCTCACTTTGTCACTTTGTAGTTCCATCATGGATTTTAACCCTCTGAAAAGGTAAGGCCCAAAATAAATACCTTTTTTTTTTTTTTTTTCCTGAGTTGCCTTGGTCATGATGTTTTCTCACAGCGACACAAAACTAATGCTGGGGTGAGTGTGGGTGTGGCAAGTTTGAGTGAGTCCAGTTCCTAGAGGGACTTGATTGTCACCATTGCAAACGGAACGGCTCAAGTGTGGGAGGGGGTTCTGGTTTCCACACTTAGGTTTCAATCTTTGTAGACCCTGCTGGGTTTCCATGGAACCAGAACAAAGTTGGAGGGTTCTTTGACTCAGGTAAAGATATAACCAAGAACTGCACCATAAGCTGGTTATTTTTTTATTACTTTGTTCATTCAGTTTTTAGGAAGCTCTCTTTTCATTTATTGGAAAATACCCAGTAAGGGAAAATGAATGATCCACAACGTGTCCTGTTTAGCTTTAACTGTCAATTTGACACAGCCTAGAGTCCCCTGAAAAGGGAGTTTCCATTGAGGGACTGCCCAGAGCAGATTGGCCTGTAGGCATGTCTTTGGGGCATTGAGTGTTAATTGATGTAGAAGGGCCCAGTCACTATGGATTCTCTGCCAGTAAGTCCTGGGCTGTGTGTAGGCCAGGTGAGCTATGCAATCTGGGAGGGTATCCCAGAGCAAGAGTGAGATCAAGACAGGTCCAAAACCCAAAAATCTCATCTTGAGGAACAAGGACCATTTTGTTTGGGACCTGCATGTCCCAGTGCACATAGCCCTGCGACCCCATCTCCAACACCCCTGAGGTAGTCATGTAGCCTGGTGGCCAGGTTTCAGGTTAAAATTTTTTATTCACTACCAGCTTTTGTGAGTCTACACTTTGCAGATGTCTCGGTTTCTATAACCATACGGGCCAGCACTTGTTGGCATGGAAATGAGGGAATTTCCAATGTTCAGTGATCAGTATCAGTGGCAAGAAGTTCTACTCACTGGCAATAGGGCCTTGAAAGTAGAGGAAAGAAAAAAATTTAAAAGGAGACAATAGAAGATCTGGGAAAAGAAGGGAAAGCGTTGGACACACATTCTCTGGGAATATGCAGCAAATTAATGGGAGGCTTGATAGAAAACTTTCTTTTTTTTCTGTCCTCTGAACTCTGAGTTCAAGGTTCAACCACAGAAAGACATTCTGACAAGGTGTCTTTGCTCCTGCTTACACTTTCCACAAGATAGGTCATGAGATCCAGTCAGCTGTGTGTCCTCCTAAAACCACCAGGGGAAGCTAATGTCAGTGGGAAACTCACCTAATGTTTGTGGGTTCTTTGGTCCTTCAGAGCTTGTTTGAGGTTTTGGTGGATGAGTGAGGGTACTTCTGCAACTGTGACTGAAGAATGATGCTTCCCTGTTGGGGTAGGTTATCTTCTTTGACTGACCATGCAGCTTTGGGAGGAGTATACTTGGGGTAGTGAGACTGGAAGGAGACACCTGCCTACCCAGCCAGATCTGCCAGATCAACTTGGCGATCGAGCGGGTGACAGATGTCATAGCCAGATGACCCTCACAGATGAAACTCATTGGTTTGACAATATAGACCATCATCCTGAAGCAACTGGCCTGATTTTTTACACTGGGCCTGTCTTTGGGAGGCTCGCTTATGGAGCTAGCTGCGTGACAGTATCTTGCCAGGCTGGAATGGTATTATCTGAGGTGTGGTGCCTGCTCTGAATGAAGATGCAGTACTGTGTTTGTTTTTGTTGATGAGTCCCAGAGAAGGAGAGGGAAAGGCAGCAGCTCTGGCAAAGCCAGGTCCAGCAGTGTGCTAGTAATGCTTTTCCCTGCATGGGGCAGAGGGCTTGATTCCCAAGGAACCGCTGTTTCTACTGATGAAGAAACACTGTGATTCCTTTAAACTGAAAACTGACAGTGCCAAGTGCAGCTTCACTATTACATCAGCACCAGGACGAGGCTTACTGCTCTCCCCCAGCACCTGTGCGGCTCTAGGCACATAAGATTCTTCACTGCAAGATACCAAGCAAGTTCAGAGCTTTGAAACCTGGCCACTGAGTGCCAGGAGAAACTTTTGGTACAATCCTCAAATATTCACCTTTATGTCCATAAATGCCACCCAGAGACGGGAAACTGCTCCTGGTCATGACTTGCTTTTCATTAACAAGTTATAGTAGATTGTTATATTAAGATGGACAATACTTATTTTTATAGAATCTTGATAAACAATAGCAACACAATGAGATGTATATTATATTACCTGTTAAGCCAAATACGTCAGAGGCATGGTTTTCTTTCTTTTCTTTTAATCACTGTATTTTCTACTAGGGATTTAGTTGTAAGCCATTTGTGTGCTTAAAATATTATATATCACAGATTCTCAAAAACCAAACTGAAGCCAAAGGCTTCAAAGGCATTTGAATCCATGATCTATGGGTTTGGACTCCATAGCGTCAGGAAATGATCTAACAAGGGCAAGATACAGGATGGTTTTTATTTTCTTTTTGTCTTGGTAGCTTTTAAAAATTATTATTAAACACTGTGTTATACGGAAGGGTTTATTGTCCTGTTCTCTGCATAGCAAGCTCATGTCTCAAATTAAACTTAATTTGTGCCAATGGGGATTGCATCAGTTAGATAAATGCACACACACACACACACACACACACACACACACACACACACATCTGTTGAGTCTTACTTTTGGTATCCTTGTTTTTCATCAGAATGTTTATTGTAGCAACAACTGAAAAATACTTCTAGGAGATTCATTCAGGATGTTGGTTTAACTGTATTTGTTGTAAACCTTCCTTAAGCTTTGGGAGATTTTCTAGGAACTTCTCCAAGCCCCTAGCTTACTTTGGCCAGTGAATATCACTTCTGGCAGCTTCCATCACACTTCAGAAGTTGGTGAAATCAGTTTACTTCTCTGAGAGTTGACTGCCTTAATTCAGAGACAAGAGTGTTGATTTAAAGAGTTAACAGTTTGAGGAGATAATCCCAAAAAGCTTAGAAGTAATTTCCAGTGTTACTATTCAGTGGTTCTAGACTTAATTTCAATCCCTCTTCCTGTTTCCAGTGAAGTGACATTTGCCCAGGAACAGCAGGCTCTATGTGGCAGGCGCTACACCACCGGCCCCAAGGAGTCAGCACTTGGCTCCAGGCACCCCAGCACCCCTCCCCTGACCTCATCCAGTCAGGTTTCCAAAACTCTTGAAACCATGCATGACGGTAGTCAGGGGTACCACAGGTTTTTTCCATCTATTCTAATTCTTCTTTAAATGAATGGACAAATCAAGGCCAAGGAAAGCAAATAAGTCACATGGGAATTACAAAATCGGCAGGCAGAAGGTGTTTGAACCCCTGACTCCAGACTCCTAGCTCTTTCCATTGAGCCTGAGTACCTGACACCGAATGTTTACAATCTCATAGGGTAGTCGTGTATGGAGACAACATTTTGTTCTATATTTTCTTTGGAAGGACTTCAGACTATGGGCTCCCTTTGGCAGCACATACACTAAAATTGGAACCTTCCAGAGAAGGTTAATATGCCCCCTGAGCAAGGGTGACATGTGAATTAAAGGATCTTTCCAACTTTAGAGAAAGATTTTGGACTAAATTCCTCATTTCACTTTGAAATATTTGCACTGAACATTGTGCGTTGGTGGATATGATTGCGTCATTAAATACAACAACAAAGGCTGCACCCTGGCAGCAAGACAGAGCAAGACACTTGCTCTTCTCTCATCCAGAGGAGCTATTGCCTCAGCTTACCACAGTGAACCATTTGCTGAAAAGCTATTGAGTCACAATGTCTCCAGTCTTTGGAGAGTGAAATGGGCACATCTAGTGACAAGACAGGACACACACACACACACACACACACACACACACACACACACACACACAC